TAACAGCAACCGGCGGTGGTTTATAACCGGAGAGATGGAAGGGATATCGGCTGGATGAAGGAGGGTACGGAATCTCTTGGCGGGAGGTATTTCCAGCGGCAGCGCTGGTGCAGACGTTGCCCTGTTATCCTCACAGAAGAGCTGGGAAGCCGCCAGCACCCCGAGCTCTCTCAATTTGGATCCTCACACCTGGGGAACGCTGTCAGCAGAGAGGCAATTACAATCAGAAATCCCACGCTTAAGGAATTAACGATCTGGCTCCCAGGCAGCGGGGCTGACAGGTTCCTTGATCCCGATCTCCCTAATTATTTTGTACGCAACCAAAGTCAGGCTGAGCCAAGAAACCACATAAATGCTGGCAAAGAGGAGGAAAATGGTGTTGTGGATGTTTTGAATGAAGCTGTTAGCCTGACCGCTTTTAGCTCCTATTTCAAGATAAATAAATACATAATCTCAGTACATCTGGAGGAAGGAAGAAAGGTGTTTGCTGCTCTGATCTCTGCACAACAGCTCTGCACACCAGGAACTGCACAAAATTATTTTTGGAGGGATAGTTATACAAGTTCTGAAACACTTCACCTTTAAAACAAAACCAAGCTCTCTGTACTTCAGGCCAAAGTTCTCTTTTGGAAACGGAAAATACTTTGAACCCCACGAAGCTCTGATTTTGTGCCAACAGTTTTATTAGTGTGGACAAGCATCGTTTTTCTTTTCCCACCCTCTTCCATAAACTAACCTAGACTGCGTACATGGTCTTGGCTGCTGTGGATCCCAGGATAAATAATGTGTGTCCTTGTTTACTTTTTGCTACTTTTCAGACAGCTCAGAGGCCTGGATTATTGAAAAAAAAAAGTTGAGAGGAACAGGTGGCAAAAGGAAATGTGAATCAAGCACCTCCAGTAATCAAGTGCATCTGAAAAACGAAATGAAGCTGAGTTTCACTCACACTCGCTCGATAAAAAAAGCCTTTCTGCCTGCTGGGGTGAATCACCGACAAAACTGACGGTGGGTTTCTTATTTGCAGGATCTTCCTCAGTCCAGACAAGCAACAAGTGACCGCGCTCTCGCTGCTCTCCCAGCAGGAAGGGAGCACAGTCCTGCTGCCGGGGCGGCACCGCCGAGATGCACGTGAACACCAGCAACGGAGCTGGTGAGGGGTCTGGAGAACAAGTCTTGTGAGGAGCACCTGAGGGAACTGGGGTTGTTTAGTCTGAAGAAAAGGATGAGGGAAGATCTTATTGCTCTCTACAGCTCCCTGAAAGGAGGGGGTCGAGAGGTGGGCGTTGGGCTCTTCTCACAAGTTACAGCCCATAGGACAAGAGGAAATGGCATTAAGTTGTGCCAGAGGAGGTTTAAGTGAGACATCAGGAAAAACTTCTACACTGAAAGGGTTATCAAAGACTGGCACAGGCTGCCCAGGGGAGTGGTTGAATCGCCAACCTTGGGTGTATTTAAAAGCCATCTAGATATGGTGCTCAGGGACATGGTTTAGAAGTGGGCCCAGTGGAGTTAGATAACGGTTGGACTTGATGATCTTGAAGGTCTTTTCCAGCCATAACGATTCTATGGTTCTATGATCCGTGCATCGCTGCCCATGGGGCCACGTCCGACCTGCTTTTGCACCATTTCAGGCTCCAGACTCTCGCTTTTGCTAACTTTTCTCAGCTTTTGCAGTACATAACAAAAGCAAAAATTTGCCTGGAGGAGAAGAAGATGAAAATTAAGCTTATTGTTCGGAGAAAGAAGGGATGTTTTTCAGTGCCTCGGAAGAAACGTGGAGCTGTTGGTGAGGGATGCTCTTCCACCACCACCGAGCAATGCCCAGGGAGTGGCGGGTGTAAATTTAGGTCTCTCCGTTATTATTCATGAAGAGCTCTCTCCTCTTGATGTAGAAAGAGTATACAATACTAAAAGGAGAGAGAGAGGTGTGAGATGTTGAAGCGCAAGTGAGAAAAGGCAGCTTCTCACTTAATGGCAGTAGGCAAAAGCGTTAAGAAACAGAAAAAGATAGCAGGGAGCCCAGGGGCTCGCACAGCCCCGTCCTCCAGGCTCGGCGCCAAAGTGGGGCTGCCTTCGTATCCCTGGGTGGATGATGGTGAACCGGCGTGCAGAGAGAGTAAATGACCTCAGCCCAACAAGGTAATTATGGGGAATTTAATGTCTTCTGGGTTTTTCTATCCTTTTTCTCAGTTGGCATTTCCCAGCAGGGTGTTGGAAGCCGGGGTGCACGCGGTGGCTTGCCTACGGCGTGGGCATAGCGCCCTGCGAGGGATGCATCCCTCCTGGCACACAGCTGGAAAAAGCTTATGGAGGTTCGTGGTGCCTTCCTGAGGGATTTATTTCCTTGTTCAAAATGTGGCCTTGGCTACATTAGCATTTATAAGCATTGGTATCTCATCAATGCTTATCAATCCTTCAAGGGAGGGTGCCGGGGGGATGGGAACAGTCTGTTTCCAGCGGTGCCCAGTGACAGGACAAGAGGGAACGGGCACAAACGTGACCATGGGCAGTTCCATCTCCACCTGAGGAGGGCCTTCTCTGCTGTGAGGGCGGCAGAGCAGTGGCACAGGCTGCCCAGAGAGGTGGGGGAGTCTCCCCCTCTGGAGCCATCCCAACCCCGCCTGGACGCCGTCCTGTGCCACTGCTGGAGGTGCCCCTGCTCTGGCGGGGGGTGGGATGGGGGAGCTCCAGAGGACCCTTCCAGCCCCCACCAGTCTGGGGTTCTGGGATTCAAAGCCCTTCATTTACAAAAGCTTGGCCATGAAAGCTTTCTGCTATCAAACTCTCCCCATCTAACATGCGCGAGGACTCTCACCGTTTATAACCAGTACTGGCATACTTTATTAGGTCTTTTTGGGTACTATTTTTGAACAGCTTTTGCTTTATCATTTGTCAGTTTAAGCTACCAGATTCCCTGGTCTTTTCCTCAGCTTATTTAATTAAGCCATCCAGTATTTTGCAGTACAGCTCAATTCCTGGGTGCTGGATGTTTTATTTAACCTTTGTCTGAACCAAAGCTCTGCAGAAAAAGAAAAGGAATAAAGCGATATATGCAAGGTTTAGGCTGCCATTGAGTGCATCATTAAAATGCTGGGCTAGTTTTGCTTTTTCAGAGAGTCTGTGTGTGAGCAGGTCTGTTCTTTAGCTTTACGTACCAAAAAGCAAAGGCAAAAGAAAAGGATTATGTGTGATTACCCTAAATGTGGTTGTTTGGAAGAATAAAAAAAAAAATAAATTGAGTTCCTTTCTGTCTTTGTCCATGGCAATCACAGTTCTGTCTATCTTCTCCATGAAGTTGTGAATACCCACCTGAGCAGTTCATAAATGACCACTTGCGCTCACAGCTATTAATGTTGTTTGAGACGTTTCATGTGCAAACGTGAACCCTTTATTGCATGTGAAATATGAATGAAGGTATTTTCCAGAAGAGGGCTTGGGAATTTGACTGAAATCTGTTTAGATAGCCAGTCCTCAAAGGGCTGCAAAATTTAGTTAAAACCATATAAAAAGCAGCATTTAAAAAAAAATAAATAATTCTGCTGCACATTAATTTAGCTTGTGGCAAAAAATATGGGTTTTTTTAGTATATATATATTATGATTAGCTGGGTCAGAGCCTGCAAAACATTGGGCGTGATATCTGGTGGGAGAAGGTAAAGTGCAGCTCACAGAAGGTTTCGTGCGTGTCCCATGGGAACTTTGCTGAGTTACTAATGAGACGTTTGGCCCCCACCAAAGGAGATAAATCAGAGTCACCCTACCCCAGAGCTGCGCACTTGACTTGGGGAGACGTCACGTGCGGGACAGGAACAGGGGAATTCTGTCCCCGCAGACAGCACAGCGATCGCCGCTGCCACTGCCTCGCTTCAGGTTTTCAAGTGTGCCGTGGAGTTATTTCTGGGTTGTTATAGAATATGAGGTGTATGGGATCAGGTGAGGACTCTTTTGCTGTCAACCCAGTGTTGCCAACATCAGAGTTTTGAAGAGGAGAAACACTAGGAAGAGTCTGATTTGATCAAAAATATATTTTTTTTTAATATCTGACTCATTTGGCCATTTTTTTTCCTAGCAGAGAGAGGAAAATTGAAATCTGAATTAAAGCTGTGATTGATTGCAAGAAACTCTTTTCTCCTGTGTGTGTATCTTCAGGGGAAAACTGATTTTCCACACACCTCTAATGAAACAACAAACATGTTCAGAGCAGCTCCTGCTTTTACTGTGGGAGCAGGGGAAGGAAACCCACCAACACCCACTTTCCAAAGTCGTTGCTTGTAACAGCGGAGAGGAATTTGCACATCTGCTTTCCCATGGGCAATGCCAGTGGGGCTGCGTACCCTCTGCTGTGTGACCACGCCAGCTCATCTGCTCAAACCCATTCCCACAGAATAAGTTGGGTTTTAAAACTACGTCAGTCTCCTGGTCACAATCAGAGCCTAAAAACACCAGCCGAAAGAGAGGTGTTCAGGCCCGAGTGGGTCAGAAATAGCAAAAGAAACAGGAAAACTTGGTATTATCAAGTTGTTTCTATTTCACAGAACGTAAAACATATTTTTTAATGAAATTTGAAATTTTCATTAATCAGTTTCTCCCCCACTGAGCGCAGTTAATTCAATATTGCTCAAATATATCTTTTTTTTTTTTTTTTTAAATCCTTTAAGAGAAGTTTAGGACTCAGAAAAGTGCCTCTGGAAGAAAAATAGAATAGTGATGGTAAAATTCCCTGCAAAACTCTTGGTGACTTAGCAAGAAATAGATGAAGAAGGAAAGAAACCAAGAGAACAAAAAAAATTATTTTCCAAACTCTGGAGCTTTGAGACAAGAATTGGGCAATTTCGACAGATGTCAAATCATTTGGGGGCAATTTGGCTTTCCAAAAAGAGCTAATTTTCCTTTAAAACATGTTTTGGGTGAAAGGGTTGACCAATTTCAGCCTATTACTCCTCAAATTGCATTTACTTAGACACCTCTAGCCAGTTCCATGCCAAATACGTGAATACTTACGTAGGACCCTCACGCCGTGCTTCAAGGCTTGCACGCGGCTGGGCTCCATGGACATGCTGAGCATCGTCTGCTGCCCGCCGATGGTGCAGACCTGGTTTTCCTGGGCAGCCTGTTTGAACATGACCATGAGTTGGTTGGCGATGATGGTGTTGAGCACAGAAATGACGACCATGGGGAACACGAAGGAGATGAAAGTGTTGACCTGCGGGGAAAAGATGTGGCACGGTCAAGGGATGAGAAGGACCAGTGGAGCAGGAGATTGTGTTTTATTTCTCACAGCAACAGAGAAACAGCCTGCAGTGGAAATGTCTTCCCTCCTCTTACTGTGCTGCCTTTGGCTTTTGAAGGCTTATTGCACAGAGGGAAAACTCAAACACCGCTGACATACATTCATCCACTGTGGGTCAACACTCAAAAAAAGCAAATTCATTCACATCCAATTATGTTGTCTTCCCCTTTTCAGTGCAGTTCATTGCCAGAAATGTCTCCACCGAAACATGCCACTGATCTTTCCATCTTGCGAACAGCAGGATGCTGCTTAGCTTTCACTGTGCGTAGCGTGACTTCTAAATAACAGTATGTTCTTGTATTTTTTCTTGATTATGAGCACTCCTAGAGATCTTTTTAACTTTCTTTTTTGTGTTCTGTCCTTTCCTTGCAGATTTAATGACAGCGTTTCGTTATCTCGTAATTAAATTATCCAATAAACCTTGTGCCTTAAAGGATTAAAATTGATCGGAATAAACAAGTGGAAGTTGTAATGGTTTTAGTACAAATTATTTGATTACTACAGTTTTGATAAAATTAAATGGAGGATCAAATTAAGCAGTGATTGAATCAAGTGGAAGTCACTGTTCGTGTCAAATGAGAGCAGGAAGGCTTTGTGAGGACCTTATGGGCTGTGGAGGAACCCTGATGGAGTGGAGCTTAACCGACAGCAGCCCGTGGATGCAGAAGGTGGTGCAGGTTTTGCCTGTGTGTCTGTGGCAAAGCTGCCGTGGTGGGGTGGGGGGCTGCCCTGCTCACCCCCCTGCCACACAGAGGGGTTGGAGGTTGTCCTCCGTGGCTCAGGAGGATGCTCAGCACATCCCCGAGATGAGCGTGGGACAAAACCGAAAGCTCCTTCAATTTGTAAAATCTCAAAATACTTCCAAGAATTAAGCCGTGTGCTGCAAATCACTGTGGAAGCAATTTTATTAAAAGTGATAAAATGACAAAAAAACCCAAACAACTACAAAACCAGTAGGGAACTTTGCCCTGTGGCAGGGTTACAAGGCACACTAGCTTCTTCCCCAGATCAGCACGTATCTTGCACCTCGGTGCGCTAAAATGCAGGAGCAATCCTGCACTCCGAGCCAACCCCACATCCCTCCAGGAAACCAGGAAAGCCTCATCTACAAACCGGTGCTCCATCTGCTCGCCTGGAGGTGATCCCTCTCCACCCCCCACCCACGCGGCACCACCACCTCACTGCACAAGCATTCGCTGCCCACCCCATATCTAGTGCAGGTGTGTGGTCTCTTTGCTCTGGAGGGATTAAAAAGTGCCAGAAAGGAATGGAAAGATGGAGAAAGAATCCAACCATACCCCAGGGATGCTACAGGGGATCCATAAAAGAAAGAACTAAGTATATGGGGAGCAGGTGCACTGGCAATCAGAAGCACTTAAGTGTCTTTGTTAACAAATTTGAGAAAGATGCAACTCCTCTTTTGGTGAAGACAGGCAATGTCATTGTTGCCAAAGTTTTCTTTAGATGGATGAAGTCTCTGCGGAGCTTTGTGCTCCGATGCATCTCGCAGAAGGACCAGCTGGGTTTCGTCTCCCACAACCCCCATGGTGAGAGCATCTTCTCTCATTTATGCTGTAATAATAACAGAGCTCCTCTGCGGACTGAGGAAATTCCTAGATACAACTTTGCCCTAGCTATAAATTAGTCTTGCCTAATATAATTATGCAGAACTCAAAAAGTCTTTTCTGAGCTTTCATTAAATCCTTGATTCATTCCATAATTGCATTGTGAAGTCTTTAAAGAGCTTGGGAAATTGTCTAGAATAGCATTGACTTTCCCTTTTATGAATTGTTATGGTGAAAGTGTGAAAATTGCATGCTTTCTATGAAAGGCTATATTTAAAGATTTTTTTCCATGTCTTGATTTGTACCAAAACTCTCGTATAGTTAAAAAAAAATAATCAATATTTTCCCCGAGGCAGAAGGTTTTAATTTGTGGAAAGAATTATTTACAACACAAAATCCTGCGAACAATAAAGGGTAGAAAAGCTGATCCCCCTCCTGCAAACCGTCCGTATTCAGTGTTTTTTCTGGCGAGCTGCTTGCTGGGTTGTGAGAGTGCGGACCCCGGCGCACCGCGCACGTCAGTGCTATAGCACTTCATTTCCAGGTGACTTTGCTCACTGCTGGAGCTGGTGCCTCAAACACCTCTTCAAAGCCAGGGGAAAGTTTCCCACTTGCTTTGCGAGGAGCGGGCCCGGGATCCCAGGGCTACACGTTCAAGGTCTTCAGGGGGAGGAAGACTTGTCTAGGTGTTTAATGGGTTTTTTTACAGCACTGAAACTCCTAACACCAGTGGGACTAAAGTGGCCACAGCTGTCAGTGAACACCCATGGGAGCCTTTGAGTCCTTATATACCTTTACAGATCACTCTGGCCCCAGGGAGGAGGATTTAGACAGTGTCCAGGTTCATTTTTGACCTGAAAGCGTTGGGCTTTATGTTGGCTTACCATGGAAAGGACAGCTCACATGATACTGGATCTACACTAATTCTGTATTCAGGCTTTTTTGGATGCCCGAGCAGAGTGGCCTGGCCATATCTCTGCTGTCACCAAGTGTGGGTCAGTCTGATTCTCCTCTCCGTTAAAACTGATGTGTTCGCATCGGTGTAAATCCACCAGATCTGAGTTTCTGCTCGGCACCGTGATGCGCAGCACGAGCACAGTGCAGAAGCACAAAGCTGTACACGGGAAGGCTTAGCACTGGCTGCTTTCTGGTGTAAAAAAAAACCCCAACATCACAAACCCCATGACTGTGTGCTAAATCCTCAGGAAAAAAAAAAAGAAAAAAGAAAATCCAATACTACAATGTTTGCCACTGGCAGGAGAGAATGAAACACTAACCCACTTCCAGGCTGCTGTCGCTCCTGCAATCAGTGCAGTCCTAAAAGCCATTCAAACTCCAGGCTGGCAGCATCTGTGGGATGGGATTAGTCCTCAGGGCCAAATCGTGTTTTGTCTCGTACAGAACAGCAACCTTCCCTTCCAGCACTGCCTGAGCAGCAACACTCCGAGACCCGAATCACTTCTCCAGCTGCGCCGCGCAGGACGGTGACCACCTAGATGCCATCTGAGGGTGAGCTGCCAGCAGAAATCTCTGCCTAGACCCTGTCCCCGTGGAGCCGTGCCCGAGATATCCGATCGCTTGAGGGATGCAAAGTGACACCCACTCTGACCCAGCCCGTCCCCAGGTCCCCAGGGGTACAATGCCTGCGCGGTCCCCCACGGCGGTGATGCTGAACCTCCCCAGCCCTGTCCTGGTGGCCGTGGGGGTCCTGCCCTGCCCAGGCCCCGAACCTCCCTGGCTCTCCAACAATGACGCGCTTTTCATCCCAGCTTTCTCTTCGCCCTCTATTGCCAAAGGTGGTTTTAATTCCCGCTGAAACATGAAGCATTAAAATGACGCAGGGTTTTGCAGGACAGAGAAGACAGAGCAAATCTGGGGATGGGGCTTCATGAGCTCTTGAGAAGACAAATGGAAATGTCTGGTAATTAAGGCACATTTCTGGAAGGGAAAAAATGCAGTTATCAGCCTCTCTCGGTCAGCTCAACAAAAATCAGACTTTGCGTGAGACTAGAGAATTCAGCATGATGTGAGCTTTCTTCTTCCTTCCAAACAGAAGTGTGGGAGAGACATGGGGAAAGGGACCAGAAAAATCAAGCGACACAAAAGCAGAAGGCAGCTCTCGGGTTGGTGACTCTTCCTAAATCTTTTGTATGGAAAACTGCTCCCCTGGCTCCGCTGAGCTTCATGCTGATGTGATTTGCTTTTGCCAAGTTGTCCCGCAAATTATTTGGCTGATGTGGTTTCCCTGGGTTACCGCTAAAAGCAGACATCAGCTCGCTTGTGACAGTGATGGAGAAGATGAGCGTGTAACCTCATGGAGGGACTCCCCAGAGGGCTTAAACAAGTCCTGTAAATCGGAAGTTTTGCAAAGGTTTATTCTTTTGTGCTTTAAGGTGACTTCTGGAGGAACATGGACTCAGAAGGCATTTTGGAAGAAGATGGTTTTTCCATCCCGCCTACAAGCCCAGACTTTTATCTTATCTGTATCTGAAGGGGATGAGGGGCAATATTACAGGTTATGGGCATTTACAGGTCACCTTTGCTCCCAGCAAAACTCAGTCGCCTGAACTACCTGCAGCTGACTGTTCCCCTGGTCCTCCAGCGCACGGCTTTGGAGGGGAACGGAACTCTTAATAAGTGTTTGTAGATGCTTTATGAGGTCTTGGAGCACTGAAGTGGTTAAAAGTAAAAAAAATAGGCTAAAGGCTCTTCCTGGAGATACAGTACCAAGTTAAACACTTCCACTGAAAGTATTTATAATAATAATAATTTAAAAAAAAGCCAAGAACCAGAATTATTCATAATATTTTCATTAAAAGAGTTTTGATGAGAAGATGTTCCTTTACGGAGATTGTAAAAGATTCTTGGACTTGTGTCTTGTGATTTCCCACAAGCCAGACTTTTTTCTAAATAGGTAAATAAAGTCCCATAAAGCAGATGAAGGGTGAAAAGCCGGTCACGGCAGCAGCATGGCATGGTGCATCGCACTGAAGCATCCCGGGATGCCGCAGCCGGGATCCCCTGCCAGCAGGAGCAACACACCCAGAGCAGACCTTGGGGGGAGCTGAGATTTAGGGACAAATTTAGGGAGGTGATTCTTCCCCTCTACTCTGCTCTGGGGAGACCCCACCTGGAGTCCAGCTCTGGAGCCCCCAACATAGGAAAGACATGGAGCTGTTGGAGCGGGGCCAGAGGAGGCCACAGAGATGCTGCAAGGGCTGGAGAACCTCTGCTGGGAGGAGAGGCTGGGAGAGTTGGGGGGGTTCAACCTGGAGAAGAGAAGGCTCCGGGGAGACCTCAGAGCCCCTTCCAGTGCCTAAAGGGGCTCCAGGAGAGCTGGGGAGGGAC